AGCCTCAGTTTCCCTGCTTTATTGAGAAGAGAAGCTGCATGTGTACAAGTGTGTGTGTGTGTGTGTGGCTTTTCCAGGTTCTAGGAGGAAAGCTGGACCCACAGGTGGGGAGGGGATAGGGCGTAGGTGTCCAAGTGAGCCCTGGCTGAACATCCTGCCCCCCAACTATCCAAACCCCTCTCCTGACCCCATCTGTGAGCCATGATCCCCGACCCCAGTACCAGCCAGCTGCTGGGTCCCACTGGTGCGGAGGTGGCCGCCGAATGGTCTCTCATGCCCGGGACACAGGAGTGCAGTGTGCTTGGTGCCGGACTGTGACCTTGTGCCAGTGCCGGTCCTGTGGGGCAGGGGCGTGGGAACGCAGGAGGCTCAGGTCAGGGGTGCGGCTGGGAGGGAGGGGAGGGACCAGGGGCTCCGGTGAAGGCCTCGTGGGCCTTTGTCTGGCGTCTTTAGTCTCCTTTGGGTTCACAGGTGGGCCGGCCTCGGCAGCCCCTGGGCCACTCCCGCCCCCAGCGATGTGAGCAGTGTCTCCCCGGACTAGTGGGGAGAGCGTTGGCTTTGGAGTCAGACCACCTGGGGTTCAGTCTGGGGTTCCTGCCTTCTGGGCTGTGAGATTTGGGGGTGTCACTGAACCTCCCGGAGCCTGTTTCCTCCTCAGTACAATGGGGGTGCTGTGAGCTTCCTCAGAGGGCTGCAGTGGGGATGAAGGGAGCATGCTTTTGGGTTCGGTGACGCCTCCCTCTCACTCAGGCACCCCCGACCGAACTTCCCGGTCTGGAACCCCGGGTGGCCGCCGCAGGCTCCCATGCGGGGCTGCTCTGGGGCCTGGGCTTGGTCCCAGCGGTTGCTCAGACGGACTCTACTCCCTTTCTCCAGCCTCAGTCCCTGTCTGTCCTCTGCCTGGCCCTCCCCCCTCCCAGCCCCATCCTCTGCCCACACCCATGCTCGCTCCCCTTTCCTCAGTTAAGTCCAACATGGTTTGTCTCCCTGATCTCTTCCCATGCCTGTCATCCCTCCCCCAAACACGCAGCTCAGACCCCACCTCTGCTCCCCACACGCAAGCCTGACCTCCAGGGGCCCAGATGGCGTGCTGAGGCCCTGGTGCTGATAGCGACCCTGGACTTCTCTGTTGGTTGTGCCTTAGGGAGGCCCCACCCTCTGTGCTCCCACAGATCCCTGTGGCGACCCTGATCGTCCTGCCTGAGGCCTGGGCTAGTGGCCCCTGAACAGAGCAGGTGCCTATACACGTTTGTGAATATTCTGAACAAACTAAAGGCAAGAGGCAGGTGTGGTTGGTGGAGGTCCCCCAGGCCCAGGCTCTGCACCCCCTCTGGGCAGGGGAGAGCCTCCCGCAGAGGCAGGCCTGGGAGGGTGTACAGCAAAGCTGAGAAGTGCCCTGGCGCTGGGCCAGGGGTGGTCACAGCTTCCCTCCCAGGCGCTGAGCTCTACTTCTCTGTCCTCAGGACCAGGGCACCGTGGGGGTGATCTTTAATGTGGGCACCGACGACATTACCATCGACGAGCCCAATGCCATCGTGAGCGACGGCAAATACCACGTGGTGCGGTTCACTAGAAGCGGTGGCAATGCCACCTTGCAGGTGGACAGCTGGCCAGTCAACGAGCGGTACCCGGCAGGTAGGTGGGTGGCCTGGGAGCACGGCGAAGTGTGGTGGGAGGGGCGAGGCAGGCAAGGCAGCCTTTGATAGGAGCACTGCTTGCACTGGGGCGGGGCCATGCGGAGTGTCATCCCGCTGTGGGCGGGGCCAGGCTACAAGAAGGTGTGGCTTGGGGGGAACCCAGTGGGCGGGGCTAAAGAAAACCAGCGGTTTGGGGAAGGCTGGGCTTTGTAGGGCCTGGGTGAGACGGGGTCCTCGTGGTGTGAGGGAGCGGGCGGAGCTGAGTGGGAAGGCTGCACTGCCCAGTCCAGTTTGGGGCTGAGGGAGAAGGGACGAGGAGGAAGGGTAGAGGTAGAGAGACAGTTGAGGAAAGGATGAGTTCAGAATTGGGGCAGGTGGAAACGAGGAGACAGATGCAGAATCAAGGGGAGAAGATCCGGAAATAGCCCAAAACACGTCTTCGCAAGTAGGCAGAGCTGTTCTAAGGACCGAACCAAGGAACAAACCGAGGTTTCCACAAAGAGCAAGTCAAGATCCCTATTAGGAAATCTAGGTAAAGGAAGAGAGTAACCATGGAGACCCAGAGAAAAGGAACCCCAGTGGCTTGGGGGGTAAGGGGGAGAGACAGTGAAGAGAGTGAAAAATATGGTCCAGTGCGTTCAGCAAACCTTTATTGATGACCTACCAGGCGTCAGGCCCTGCGCTAGGCCCTGGGGACGCAGCGGTGAGGGGACGCAGCCCCGTGTGCAGGGGGTTTGCCGTGTTGGGAGGGACAGGCGAACCCAGGGATGCAAACTGACCCAGTTCAAGTGTGTGGTGGCTGTGGTGGCCGAGGACAAACCAGGGTCTGAGGGGCACAGTAGAGGGACAGGGATGAGGACATGAAAGAAACGAGGCAGCAGAGACCCTGCAAGGTACTGAGGGAGGCAGAGAAAGGCCTGGGAGTGCGAGGAGGCCGGCGGAGCCACGGGGAGACAGGGGCATAGGCCCTGAGCCACACCGAAGACGGAGGCCGCTCCCGGGGTAATGCAGAGCGGGATATGCAGACGCTGTCGCACAGACCAGCAGCGCGGGGTGGACAGCCTCGGAGGAGAGGGACAGAGCTCAGTGCGGAGCTAGGGAGGGAGGGGACACGGGGCCACTGCGGGGAGAACCACAGGAGCGCAGGCGTGGAGATGCGGGCCGTGCGACCTGCAGTCACACACAGGAGTGCGGACGGAGGCAGAGGGCGCCTGCAGCCTCAGTTCCTCTCTCAGGCAGCAGTGACAGTCGAGGTGGAGGCAGGGCAGCTGCCCCAGGCTGACCTAGAGGGGTGGGGGCAGAAGGACAGGGAGAGGTGCAGGTACGAACCCTCACGGGCCCACTTATGCTGGAAGAAAGATGCCAGTGTCAGCTCACAGCTCACCATCATGCAAGCTTTACCCAAACATGGGAGCCTCATGGCCACTAGTAAATACAGAGGCCGTGGTCCCACGGGCCAGCCCCCGGCACCTGAGTGACTGCGGATACTCCTGCGGTGGCGGATACTCCTACGGTGGCGGATACTCCTACGGTCAGGCCGGCACAAGGGCACACAACGCTGCGGGGGGCGGGGGGCAGCCTGCTCCAAGGCCCTGGGCGAGTGTGAGGTCACTCAGACACACAGCGCTCCTGTGCTAAGTCCCACCCGTGTGCAGACACCGCAGGTGTCTGTGTGGGTGTGATCGCCCCGTGGGCATGTCTCTCTCTGTCTCAGCCACACACACATCAGAGCAATCTTTGTAGGAGTGAAGACTCAGCCTGTGTGGACAGGGCAGGACGGGGCAGGAAGGCCTCAGCGCAGGGAGTCACGGCTCAGGTCCTGAGCTTCCCCCGCGGAGCCAGGCGGGCCGGAGGCCAGGTGGGAGGAGCCAAGCCTGCCCTCCTGGGCTCGGGCCCCTGACTGAGGGTGGGGGACCCCTCACTGCAAAGCAGAGTAACCTGAGGGCTGGTGGCTGCCTGTGCGCACGGTGAGCAGACCCCCTCACAGTGGTCGCCCCGAGCGCACAGCAGGCCGGGTTCCCGTGTGCGCGGCCCACAGCCTGGCCCCAGACGCGGAGGGAGCACCGAGACCAGCTCAGGCACCTGGAGGCAGCAGCACCTGCTCCTCCTCCTGGGTCTCCTGCTCACAAGCGTGTGGCCTTGGACGGGCCATCTGGCCTCTGAATCTCAGGTGCCACCTCTGAAAGTGGGCGTCATCCTCCGCACGGCGATGCTGCGAGGACCTGAGATACGCCCGGAGAGCACTAGGGGGTGAGGCCAGAGGAGGGCTCACCGACAGCGTTTGTTAGGCGTTACTGCTCAGTGAGGCGCACGGACGGTCTTCCTTTCCTCTCGGGACACACACGACACATACATAGACACACAGCCACACACGGTACCAAGCACAGGTGGGCCCCTGAATGCCTGCTGCCCTCTGCCCTGCACATGCGCCTCCCTTCCCCACTCCCTCCCTGACTCCCGCTGGCCACACCTCCTCTCCTCTTCAGTGTCTTCCTGGGCCCCTCCTGCCCACCCCAGGGGCGATGCCCGTGCCCCTGTGGCAGAACACAGAGCTCTGCTTGTCACCAGCAGCCTCCCCGCGTGGCTGGGGCTCCTGCTGGGCAAGGGCCAGGCCTTCATCTTTCCGTCCCTGATACCCAGCCCAGGGACAGAGTGGCACCAAGGGAAGTTTGTTGAGTGACTAAAGGAATGAATGGTCCATTTTTTACTTAAACCTGAGTGACCTGAATATGTAGGGAAGGCAGTGACTCATTGCCTCATGGTCACCCAGGGGGGCAGCACCGTGCACACGTGGACACGTGGGGTGCTCCTTCGAGGGGGGTGCACTCAGGCAGGCCCAGGCCCAGGTGTTCCTGGGCAGGTGAGCGCAGCTGTGCAGTGGGGGGGGGGGGGGGGG